GGTACGTCCCGAAAGATAGATTTCTTCCTGCAGTACTGCATTGCGTGGCAATCACACGCAGATCCTCGCTGTAACAGCGGGTGGTGCTGTGCCGTGGCCAGCTCTTAGCTCGGGGTGGGGGCAGCGAGGCAAGGATGCGACAGGCCTATCTCAACAGGGACTCTAAATTAATCCTTACTTTCTGAAAAAAAATTAAGAAACACAAAAAATGCGTGGATCTAAATCTTGATAAGTACTATGCACTAGGAATCTCTTTGACCACATATACTCCTGTTGGCTTGGATTGTGTTCCCATGCTTCTCCTTGAACACACAGACTACAGGATCAGCCAATGTGAGAGAGGTGTCATCTCTAGACGAGGCTGATAGAATGAGCTCTCTGCCCAGAAGCCACAAATTCATTTCTTTTCCTTTTAAATAAAGTGATTATAAACACCACTGTCACATGGTATAATAACTCTGACACATAACTTATTTTTATAGACCTTTACAGCATTATAGATATTGCATATAACCCAGATGTGCTTCAGAGGGGAGAAGAAAACCCAGAAAAAATGGAGCACTTGATCCATTTGACACTTAAGTTTGTTGAGGAACGATGCAACCTTACTCTTTCTTATTTGTACACCATTGAATCATTCAAGTTGAAAGGAAGCCTGGAAACAATGCAGCGACGTCTGAAAGGAAGGCAGATGCCAACTCCACATCTCAGTCAAAACACAAAGAAGGGTATGTAGAGATCTGCTGTCACTTTTCTTTGAAGATGTATCAGATTTTCCAACAAATTTACTCAAGCCTCATCTCTGTAACCCCAGTTCTTGCCGTGAGTATAAGGCAAATGCTTCTAAGAATTCAGAATAAGACAACAGTACTCATACCAGATGTTAGTTTAACCCTGCTGGCCTATCATCTCCGGTATTTTACAGTTGAGAAACTGTAGTGACACTGGAAGAGCAAATTCCCTTTTTCGTATACCCACTAGGCATGAGAACCCTGCTAGGGTTTGATCCTTTGTGGTGCTAAGTTTCTTTTGCTCTAACCTAAGTAAAAGGGGTTGTTGCTGCAACTAACAGTCCAAAACCAACAACTTCTAAAACACTGGGAATAAAACTAAATCATGGGTGAAGGAGAAACTGCCAGTAACAGTCTTCAGCTGACAAAATTGCGAATTACAATTAATTACAGTTAAAACTTTTGTGATTTGTCAAGTGGCATATTACTACAGTTCTTAGAAACTGAGTGATATGTGTGAAAAACCTATTTTTCTTGAAAGAACTTACACTTGATCAGCTGCTACACAGGATGGAAGCCGAGAACTGCAGCAATGCTCCTGTGCTGCTGAAGGAAGAAAGCATGACACAGTCTAAAGTGCATCTGATAGAGGAAATTACCAGTACCGAAATGCCAGAGAAGCTAAGTACCCCTGACTATGAAATGATCACTGTGAAGGATGCAAACAAGAAACCACTCAAAATAGAACTCAAAATTGAATTGCCTAAGGTCAGCTCTGTTTCTGAGTGTGATCTGAGAGTTTCAAAGGTAAGATAGCAGAAAGAATAACCTTGTGTTTTCTGTGGAGTATAATTCCTAGAAATGCTCACTGCTAATTTGTTGTCAGATAGTTAATCAACTATTTTAATTTTCTTGGCTTAGGATGACATAATCATCGAAGTCCCTGAAAAATACAGATTACAACTAGATCTGCCAGAATTGGTGGATGAAGAAACAACTACAGCAGTATTTAACAACGGAAAACGGGTATTGTTTATCACAGTGCCAGTTGCCAAGCCAGATCCTTGAAGACTGCGTTCTGTCCATTTCATGTTCACAGATGACAGAACAAAACAAAAGTCCAGAATGAAAATCCTATCTTTTAGATGGTGATGAGTTGGGTTTTTTAATTGACCTTCTAATCTTCAGGGGTGAACACCTCAAATGCCTTTAGAAGATGCATGTAGAAAAGGAAGTCTGGAGGAATACTAGCACCGGCAAACTCGGTGAAAAAATAAAGATTGTAAATATTCAAGGAGTACTTGAGTATGTTAACAGCTGTAGAAAAGAACCATAAATGCATACATACTTTACTACATCATTCATTTTGCCTTAAGGTACAGCAATAACAGTTGTCAGTTCTTTTTGCTAAATAAATTGATTACTGGATTCACATGGTTAGAGCAGCTCTCACATGTATTTAATGCTGAAACAACCGGCAGGGGTGTGTCAGACACAGTTCTACAAGTCGCCCTGCATGCTCTTGCTGTTCTCTTTAGGACAATCCCTGCTGATCTTAACTGGAATAGGCTTTGTAGTCTTTTCAGTCACTGAATATGCTTGACCTCACTTCTTACCAGTTTGGTAATCTCTGAATGAGACCATAAAACAACAGATCTATTCTGTACAATTCAAAACCAGCATATAGAGATTCAAAGCTCAGGAACACTTAGTGTGAAGCTAGCAACCAAAAACAATCTTGGAGCACATCAACTAGGAAAACTATCTGCGTTAGTTTATGCTAATATGCAAAATACAAAGCAACACAAAACAACTTCAAACATGACTAAGCATTACTAGAATTAATTGGGAAAGGGACAAACAAGAGTTTAAGTGATCTTAATTTCATAATTGATTTGGTAGTATGTCATTCTTACGGCTTCTGGGACACATTTATACTAGAACCATGTTTCTATACTGATATTCATCAGATCAGAAATGGAAACAGACAAATTGGTTTTGAGCTGCAACTTTAAAGTACAGGCTTACAAAAGAGCAGTAACTCCTAGCTTTCCCCCTTCATTTCAAAGAAACTTAGAAGGCTGCATCGAAATACTGTTCAGTGGTTACAGTTGCAAGTTCAAGCTGAAATTCTATCACTGCGTGACGTGAGCTGGCCTGTTGCAGGATGCAAGCAGTATCCAAAGCCACCATCAGCATTCCAAACACATGCCCTGAATGCGATTTTTTGAGTTGCAAGTCTCCCAAAGTCTGACAGTCATTCAGAGAGTGTTTCCATAGGATAAACTATTTAGCATTCTCACTCCAGAAGAAAGTGAAAGGTCTCAGTAGCCAGAATTTGAGGTTCTGGCAAACACTGCAGCGAGGAAGCCAGGAAGGTTAAAGTTCACTGCTGCATGGCAGTAATAAAGCATGTATTATTTTGGAACATTCGTGATTACAATTTAAGGTTAATAAGGTGAGTTTCACTATCAGACTGAAAGGCTAAACAGCTCTGATTGTGCTACAGCAGTACAGTAAGCCACACACAACTGAACAGAAAAGCACTGGAACATGTTTTAGTAGTTGTCAATTCCAAACATTTAATAGAATGTAGGTTCACTAGAGCAAGTTTGGAACCAAGATGTTTTAGATCATTAAAGAAAAAACGAAACCTTAATGCACTTTTTTGCTTAAGCCAGGCATGAAAACGAGGTATCACAGCAACCAGACATTAAATAGCTCCCACAAAAATATTTAATTTCCACCGTATTTTCTTTCAGTATCTTTAGTGAATTTTGTAGAACTTTTACAGGAGACAGTACTCAATGCAGTATACAGAATAACAGATCAGCTTTAACTTCTTTTTTTTAAACTTCTTCCTCCCTATTTAATTCTCCTAGTCACTTTGTAATTACTACACAGTTGTCCTCCTTACATTAACACTTCCACGTGGAAAGTGGAATTTAAGAATGTTCAGCACTGCACCCCTTTCAGGATACAATGACTGGAGTAACTGGACACAAGTCCAACAAACTATTGAAGCATTTTACATACAATATATACATGGGTAGCACATTCCGCAGCTTACTGAGGCTGGGACAACATAGACAATTCAGGGTAGAACCGCAGTACCAGTGACTAACTCAGAGCTTCCTATGATAGAGTGTCTGAAAAAAAAAATTCCAAACATTCGAGTCACCACATGATTAATATCCACTGATGGGATTATTAGCATGTGTGATTTGCCTGTATCGGGTTCCAACACACATATTCTCTTGATCATTCTGCAGAACAGTTACTTCCATGGCATCATAGTTTGATATTAACTTAGCAAGAATAGCAATTAGTTTTCATACAAAAAGCACATGTAAGTGAAAGTCCACGAGAAGATAGCACGTTCCCTGTGGTATCCAAGAGCTGTGACCCCAGAGATCTCAGTGCTCTTTCACCTTAAAGTGCTCAAAAGGGACCATCACATAGCTGAGACGGTCCAGACCAGTGCCAAATTCCAAGAGAGATTTGGAATGCTAGCACTTGGCCCTTGAGAAACTATTCCCGGGCACTTCAGTCCCTTAGTGCATCTGTCATGCTCAACCATGCAGAACAGGATAATAAGGGAATTCACCTTCTACTAACTTGTACGTTTCAGTTACCATCTCATCTGAACTCCTGTGAAGAGATGTTTGTAATTCAAATTTCCAAGAACACCGAGTTCATGAAATTGCTTGGTATGCACCCCCCTGTTCACCCTAGTTTAGAAGCAGATGGCAGTACGCATACTGCTTGGATCATTTTTAAATCTGGGATGCTCAACTCTGTTTTGGAATAGTTTGCAAGTTAACTAACTGTATAAAAATACAGTATAGCTGTAATATTGCTATGAAAAGCACTTTTGCAAACTTTTTCTGTACAGACTGGTAATAACATTACCAGATAATATAATACATATTTAAAATAAAAAAGGAACTCTTTCAATAAGTCTGAACACTAAAGTCTAAATAGCTTGTTTAAAACAAAACAGTGTGACCCAGGAAAATTTTGCTTGCATGGTTAAATTATAGCAGCATGGTTAATGGCTTTTCAAGGAAATTCTTGAATTCAGCAAGCCATTGTGCTCCAACTGCTCCATCTACAACACGATGGTCACAGCTAAGTGTGACGGACATCACACTGGCCACATCAAATCTGAAAGAAAAAAAAAAGAAAAAAAAAAAGGTTAACACAATCCTCTGCAAGTCAGTGCCACTAACAAAGCAAAAAAGCTTTTATCAGAGAACCAGCAATAGCAGTTGGTGCTTGAGAACAGATGTTTCTCCCCATGGACTTCTAAAAAAGATTACATTAGAGAGCAGATCATATTCATTCGTTTTCTACAATTAAGAAACATATTTGTATGTTCCCTTTAGGACAGGAAGCTCATCTGTCTTTGTATCACAAGAACAGCCGCACACGATCAAAGAAAAAGAGCCATTTTACACAGTAACCTCCTGTTTCCCCATGTGTCAGTGATGGACACCTAGGACTGTTAAGTTCAAAAAAAATCCTAAACGTTCCCCAGGGTCTGTGCTAGCTCAAGCTCCAAGCGAGGCGATATTATATACAGCACACTTGAATTTTAATCCATCTCTTAGGTTTTCCTTAAACGCAATTTTAAGCAAGTTCTTAAAGAGGAACAGGTGCCTAACCTGTCGTGGATCCCACAGTCTTTTTCCACAGCTTAACCCTACCCCTCAAAGAAAGAAACAGCCTTTCCTTAACTTACAAAGAAGGTTCAAGAATAAATGTATGGCAGATTGTTCATCAGTCACTGAATTTCTCTTTAATGCCTGTGTGACCCCTTTATACAACATCTCACTGTACGTCTTCAGAAGGTACTGAAAGCAGTATGTCAACAATTAATTTTACTTTTAAAAAAAATTATAATCTAATGGAAGTGTTAGAAAACTAGCCTTTATTTTGAAGTTTGAATTCAGTCCATGCAGAATCAGATGAATACTTACCCTTTCTCATTATCAGCTGGCACTAGCCTTTTCTCTGAGGAACCAACTGCAAGGATACAGGCTTGAGGTGGATTGATTATGGCAGAGAAATTCTTAATTCCATACATTCCTAAATTGGAAATTGTGAAAGTACCACCCTACAAGAAAAACACATTCACAGTCAAATTCTGTTTCATGTGGAATATTAATGAACATGGCAGAAGCATTGCAAAATAGGCTTTGCTCAATTCTGAACAGGGCTTCTGAACAGAAGTCAAGGGCAGCAATGTTTAACAGCAATCCAAGTTTCTCACCTGGAATTCATGAGGCTGAAGTTTACCTTCTCGGGCTTTGGTTGCCAAAGAAACCACATCCTTACTAATGGAAGCCAGGCCCTTTATATGTGCATTAAACACAATAGGGGTTATAAGCCCTGCAGGAGTACTAACTGCAACGCTAATATCCACTACGTGATTTCTGCAAGACACAAAGGAGATGCCAGTTACTCTAGCAAGATAACAAAGAAAAAAATTTTAGAACTCGAGACAACTCTAAATTAATATAAATTTTGCAACAATTATTGCACCTTGCACAGTAGCCTTAGATGCAAAGTTCTTAGCACTTTAACAAAAGCCTCTCAACCTTTGCATTATACCTGTTCCCCTCCCTCAGAATCCCAGCAGAAGGTTTGCTATTTTGCCATGAACTCTCTAACGAACAAATAAAGTTTTCGGCTTCGACCGTACCATAAACTTACTGCCTAATAACTGTGTCCATCCACGAAGAATTTGCCTCAGGCACCTTCAAGCATGCCAGAGCAGAAGCTTTAATTATGAAGTCATTGACAGAAAGCTTAATGTTGTCTGAGACCTCCTGTAAATAAAGAGATTTGACGTATCAGTTTGTCTCTTACATATTACCTTGATTAACTTGGATAGTCACTGCCATGCAGTCTTGTTTAGAGAAAATGTTAGAAAACAATCACACTACTTGTAAGCATTAATATTTGAAGTGCCAAGATAATTTAGGGGGCGGCTATATCTCCTTCATAATTTAAGAAGGTACAATCTTTTTTAACGTCTGTTCTTTCCCAAACTTGGCTTAGAATTATTATTTTGCTTGAATTTTCTACCCTTTTTACTCTTAAAAACTCTTTTACCCTTTTGCCCTACTTTCCAGCTGGAAGAATAAAACACCACCAAGCAGAGTACAAAGCGGTCTTCTTGGGGAAGTCAGAAATCAGCGCATAGTATCTGGGTAAAAAGTCTCATTCTGTCACAGACAGTCCAGAACCAATCCACAACAGGTAGAAAAGGCACTGAAAAGACTATTTTTTCGAAGCCAAAATGGCATATCACCAAAAAGCAGGGTGAGCAAACCTGTGAGAGAATGCAGCTTTCCACACCACCCCCCCCACCGTGCCTAAACGCTTTACCTGATTGAGTTCTTTCCTTAGCACCAGTACTTCTCCCATGTTTACATCAACAGAAAGGTAGTAGTGAGGTATTGTTTGTTTAGACTGCATCAACCGCTGAGCAATGACCTGTGGGTATAAAATAGAAGCGATGAAAATAAATCAATTTGGAAAATTCATGACTGCAAATGACAATCTCTGAAAGGAACAAAATCTTCTTACCCTCCGAATGTTGCTGACAGGGATATCTGTGAAGGTCCCCACTGGTGCTGCTGCAACTGCAGCAGCTGCAGGAACTGCCTCTAGTGCTGGAGCCTGCAATCACAGAAAGACAGCATAATTCATGGTACTATCCAAACATCAATTGTACAGAGTAACTCAGTATGTGGGACAAGGCTAAGTTGCCTCTTGCTTAAGAGCAGCAGGTATTCCCGCTCTCTAGCCTCACCTCTCCAGTACCCACTAGGTTCTTTAAGTCCTATATTTGATTATTAAATGTAGTACTTGAGCGATTTAGAAACGCAACACTGACAGACACTGCTGTGAAGCTCCCGCAACAGTAAGTCCTGCTAGATAGTTGTTTTACATACAGCAGAGAGGTATGCTAGAGGGCACTCTCAACCTGCACTCAGCCACATCTCTTCCAGCAGTACACAAAGCAACGCTTCCATCATTTCATATAAAAGACAAGCAATGGTATAAGAACAGATTTGTGGCAACAATGACAGCAGGCTGTTGGTTCATAAGGCTGCGTTTCATTCCATTTGCCTCTCTTCCTCAATGTTAGACCAGTTGGGACTGGGCTTACCTCAATCCATAACAACATAGCAACCAAATGAAGGGTTGGGAGCGCACAATTGCTTTTTCCTCAGTGAAATACCACAGGGACAAATAAAGGAAGAAAACTTTGTCCGTGTTTCTGACAGGTTGAGCTTTACAACCTAACAATCACCATAGCCCACACAGCGTCATAACCCAACAGTTCCATATAGTAGTTGCATTTCTACAGAGCACTTCCACGACTACAAGAAAATATCCATTCTTACAAATCTCAAGCCTACTCACTGGAGCAACCTTTGGTGGCACAAATGACTCCACGTCTTTCTTTGTGATTCTACCATCTGGTCCAGTACCTAAAACGGTCAAAGAAAAATGTAAGAGGATTTCAATTACTTGCAACAGGGCATTGCTTCTAACGGTACCAGTTTTACTTGACAGAGAGAAGTCACTTAACCTCTGGTGAGGACAGCTGCATAGTCAGGACGTTCCTGACAGGGAGGAAAGAAAAGAATAGGCAAGTATTTGCCTAGAGGGACAGACACTTCATAGTGAGAGCAAGGAAGCAGACGGGCAACCTACCTTTCACTTGGGCAAGGTCAATTCCTTTTTCCACTGCCATTTTCTTTGCCAGGGGACTAACCAGGATCCTTCCCTTCCGGGGAGGTGGCCCAGCTGTTGGGACTGCTGGAGTGGAAGGAACAGCAGGCTGGGGAGGAGGAACAGCAGCAGGAGTTGCCACCACCTGAACAGAAGAATCAAAGCCATTAGCACCAGGATCATTCAGCAAAACCTTTGAAGGTACAGTAAGAGAACAGGACCATCTAATTACCAGTCAAGAGAACAGCAAAAGTAGTCACTAATCTGAAAGAATTTTCAGATTCAGAGAAGTGTCCCAGTGCCAGAAATTAAATCAGAAACTTCCTAGGAAGGAGGTCAACTAAGCTGCTGAACTATTTCAAAAAAAAAAAAAAAAAAAAAAAAAAGGTGAAATAACTAACTTATGCTCCCTGTTTTCAAGGATGAGGCATTAGAACTGGCACAAGCAACAGGCTGGAGAAGACATCACAATGAACAACTATCTGCTCCAGTTTTTGGAGGGCAAACTAGCAAACACTTCTTAGGTCACCTAACACCAATACATGTGTTAGCCTTGCATTCACAGAATTATAAACATTATTGCTGGAGCCAGGGCTTCACACCGTCAAACCAGCAGAACAGTTCAGATCAGACCTCTTAAGGAGTCCCATAACATCCCTCACATGCTACGAATGGTCCTTACTGGTGGAGGAGGAGGAGCTTGTGCCTTCATGTCAGTTACTGCAGTGTCTTGGTAGTCAGCAAAGGCTGGAATATCAGACTCTTTCTCCACAATGATACAGAGAGCAGTTCCTAATGGCACATCTCTTGTTCCTTCAGGCACCAAGATTTTTGCCAAGTAGCCTTCCTCCTGCACTTCAAAGCCTGTAAGGGAAAGAAACAAAACTGGTTTGGTGCCTGATGCAGCTGAAGAGTTCCTCTAAACTCTGCTTCTAAAGACTTTGGTAGTTAAATCCCCGAAGGCATTTAAAAGGCATGTAGATGTAGTGCTTAGGCACATAGTCCCATGGTGGACTTGGCCGTGCTAGGTTTACGGTTAGACTCGATGATCTCAAAGTTCCTTTCCAACCTAAATGATTCTGTGGTTCTATGATTCTAAAGCCTTGTCCTATACTTAGTAGGCAAGGGAATTCTTTTCAGTGCAACTAGTAGGGAAACGTCCCCATGCACAGTACATTACTAAGAAGGATTGATGAAGAAATCAGTGTTTTTAGGAGCTCCGATGTTTAGCTCTCCAATGGAACGAGAAGTTAACAAAACTTGTTTTAGTTGCCCCACAGCTTCACGTCCCGAGCAACTAGGAGAACAGTTGGCGCAAAGGCCACTCTGGATCCTCCGCTTTTAAGGGCATCTCATCCATTCTTGGCTTTGGAGTTGACTCACCTATCGTGGCTTTATCTGTCTCAATTTCTGCCAGTAAGTCTCCCTCATTCAGTTTCTCCCCGACCTTCTTCTCCCATCTCTGCACTGTGCCCATTGTCATGGTAGGTGACAGGGCAGGGAGAGTGATCTGTGAAGCCAGAGAATACAAGAGAATCAGATTCTGGTAATCCAAAAGGAACAGGAACACAGTTTTAACTCCTGACTAAATGATGCCAACCTAACGAAGTAGCCAGCCTTTAATGCACCCCTAGATCTGGCTCCATTACAGCAAAGCACAGTGCTGTCCTATATTGCTAGTTTGGCTTCTTTTATCAAGGTCTAATCAAGAAAGCAAGCAAAAGCAAAGAGCAAGAAATCGATATATCAAAATAATTATTACCACCATCACATTGGGAGTGTCTTGCAGCTGCTATCTGCAAAGCTAAAAAGGAAGGCTGAAGCGAGTCACTTGGTGACAAACAGATTTGACCCCTTTAAAAGCTATACAGGCTTGTCTTCCAATAAGCACTCAAGGATGCTGTAGGTTTGCACAAGCATATTGCTGTGCAACAAGTACAGCATGTGTGAGTACAGCTTCAGAGCAAAACTGGACAGACAAGACAAGCAGTGGAAAGTAAGCAAGTTTAGTAGCTAAAACACAAGTCAGATTAAGAAGCCTTTAACTAATTCTTTGTTCAATTACTGACTTCGCACATCTCAGACAAATCAGTTCCCACATGTATCACCTGTGAAATGAGGTTTAGTATTTCAAATTTTCTTTTTCAAAGGAATGTCACAGAAATATCCCGCTACAAACCACTCAAATAAAACAACAGAGGATGTACACTTCCATATCTAAGCAAGGTAAAAAGATTATCCACAAATACAAATCATTATTATTCACCCAGAAACACATCTGGTGTGTTCGTCAGAATATCAGAGATTTGACTTCTGCTCCGAAAAGTAAGCAAGGCCTTCAGAGCTTGTTCACACTTAGCACAACGTCTGTTTATACCAGAACTGTCCAAATAATGCAACCGTAGCAGGTTTTTCTAGACTGCATAACAATCATGGAGAGACAAGTCTCTCCGCTACTAGCAGTCAGGATGCTAAAATAATTTTCTGAAAAAAGCTTTCTGGGACCTCCTCAAACACCTGCTTTAAGCATGCAACAATTCAAGTGGCACATACCCCTGCAATTATAGCTAATAACTTCCCACTCCAGAGAGTATTTATCCCAAAATGCTCTGGAGCTAGCAGTTGCAAAGACAAAAAAAAGAGTGCAACAAGTCTTAAATCATCCGCAATGCTCTCTTACCTGCATGTGAGGAGGGTAAGAGCTGCCAGGAGCCTGAGGAGAAGGCTGAGTTGGTGGTGAGGGAGTTGCAGCTTGAGGGGGAGGCACTGAGGCTGCAGGGGGGGCAGATGCTGCAGAATCCAGAGTATAATTTTTAAAGGCATCCACATGTTCAGGTCTAGAAAAAAACATGACTGTGTCTCAGCCTTTCACACAAGGCACCCAAGAAGCCCCAAGGGAGAAAATTCAACTCAACCGTTAGCAAAATACTTACTTTTCTACTGTGATACATATTATGGCCCCAATAGGAACATCTCTTGTTCCTTCTGGCACCAGGATCTTGGCCAAGTAGCATTCCTCCAGGCTTTCAAAGCCAACTGTTGCTTTATCTGTCTCCACCTTTGAGAGAGAACAGGATATCATTATGGCAGCGGAAAAGAACAGTGAACTCAGAGCCTCCCAGTCTGATAGCGTAGGGTCACAACACACACAGTTCTGGAAAAATCACCCTGTGGTGCCAGCTCTAGGAAAGTATGCTCTCAAATAGGTTAAGTGCTGCTCCTGCTCAGAAAGAGGAAAAGCAGCAACCAGCTTTGAAAGGCTGTTACCCACTTGTTCCCACCAGCACCTGTTGGGATCTGTGATCTTGAACCCGAGATCTCTCTTCAAGTGAGGGCAACCAGGGACAGAACCCAGGATGCACATGCAGCTCATTAGATATGCAGCACAGCCCATGCCCCCAGGATACCTCTGCTATGAGCTCCCCTTCACCGATCTTGTCACCCTCCTTCTTTTCCCAGCGTGCAATGGTGCCCATCTGCATCGTGGGGGACAGAGCTGGCAAGGCCACCTGTGAGGAATAGGGCAGTGTTACAACGCAGAAAAGGGCAGAGACAGATCGTCAGCACAGGCTGGGACAAGGGGGCACAAAGGAGAATCTGTCTGCAAATCCCTAGCAGGTCAGGACTGCCTCCAACCTGCTGGTAGGACCCCAGCAGCAAACCAATACGAGGGTGCCGAGATGGGGCTGACCAAGAAAGGAAGAAGCTATGCCAGGGGACCAAGAGAAGTCCAGGGGAAAAGGACGAGTGGTGAAGGAGGTGGTACCCGATGGCGGTACAGGAACTTGGGGCAGGGGGGCGGCAAGGACACAAGAACCGCGAGAGTGAGAGAGAACTGCAGCTCCCCAGGACAAACTGAGCTGCCCAGCGAGGGGAAGCGAGACCCGAAGACAGAAAGTGACCGGGCTGCCCCGGGGGCGGTGAGGGCGGGGACGACACGAGTCTGTTCTCTGGGGCACCCCAGGAGCTACAGGGGCACGAACACCAGGGGGTACGGGGGGCACCCAGACTGCCTGGGACGGGGCGG